CGGGTCACGGTGCAATGCCGACCGCGGATGCATGTCCGGGTCACGGTGCGGTGCCGACCGCAGATGCATGCCCGGGTCACGGTGCCGTGCCGACCGCCACACGCAAATACATTTAGATGGATATTTAGTTTTTCCATCGTTGAATATGGTTTCGTAGTATCTGCGAAGAAAGTGAGTACGCTCTTTGATCTCTGTGTTCTATTCTAAACATGTTTTCGAATTGCACAGGGAACGGTGCGCACTTTTCCAATTTCGACACTTGAGGTGGGCACACACATTATGCCTCTAGCTCTCCGACGCACAAAACACACCTTACGCTGTGTCACAAACAGGGGTGAAAAAACCTACTCACTTGACTATCAGGGTGGGAGACATAAAATATGAGGATCAAACTGCCCAGGAGCTACCCAAACAACTGTAACTGTTTTCTTGCTAAGTCAGTTTTCCATTTTTCAACGATAAAACAATTTTGCTGTGGAATTATGAACGACAACAATGACATCATACACAACGACGTTGAATTAAGTATTGGTGTCCTTATCAGTAAGGAGACAGACTAGCGGCCAGAAGGTATCACGCGGCGAGACAGAGTTAGTTTCTATAAGGGTCTGTCTTGCTCAGGTTTCCGAGTGTTTTTAACCTTTACCGCTTGTTTCCCTGAGCAGTCCTTTTTTCAGCGCCATTTGGTGCGTTACATATCCGACGCTGTATGTGACACGTGGTGGTGCTTGGTCGGCCTTGCGATCTGTTGTGCCGGAAACGTTTACTACGTGCATACTGGTTACGCGTATTTTTGGGTGCAAAACAAATATATATCGCACTTCTCGATTAGGATGGGACATTTGCGCTTGTCTCTTTTAGCCTTGGGTCTTCTGCGTTGAAGCTTTGCCTGTATGTTCAGTTGCCAGGCATAGGTAAACATTCATCACGTGTGAAAGTGCGCTGTGGGCACGTGAACTGTGATTTTAATGGGAAAGAAGAAACTTGAAAAGGCACATGAACACTAAGCACAAAGGGTTGCCAATTTTCCTTAATAATTCAAGTTTTGGTGCAGGTGGAAACTGGGAATCTTGGCTCCAAGGTAAGAGTTTAAATTGAATCTACGTGAGTATGAGTGCTCATTCAGCACAGTACCTAACGTTTAATAATATTTACCCAAGGTAGATAGGTATGACTAAACATTCCTACATACCTTTCAAACACAGTGAATGAAATCAGCTAGAATCACTCATTTGGTGGCAGATAACACAGTGTAACAAATAATGACTTCCCAGTTTGTGCGGGCAGTTTAATGCATAGTTTAATGCATTTTTTTGCTTGAAAGGTTTGTCAAGGGTTGTAAAATAGGTTGGCTTTGATTTTCCACCGGAATGAACAGTGGTGCAGATGGCAGAGAACGAGGCACCAACACTTTTGAGATGCCAAGTAGGTCGTCCAGTCTAGCTGCGTCATCAGTTTCTGCAGATCAGACTGTTGGTGAGATTTTCAAATATGCCGTTTGTGGTGGTTGGGTATTGATGGTAACTTACTTAGGTTTATTTTTTATTCCGTGTGAAATGCTATTAAAACGGCAAAACTTTCAGGCTAATTTCAAGATAGCCATGGAATGGTGGTTTAAGGTTTCCTGGCAAGCTGTGCATTGTTTAACAAACATTACAATTGCAATATTGTTACATTACGCTTAGCAGCTGGTTGAAGACAATGTTCCTAAGGACTTATTTTCATCATGAATCGTCTTCATTCGAATTTATCAAATACTGCCCTTAGTTACAGTTACCACCAGCTTTCCCATTGTTTGCCAGATGAGCATTTTATCATCCTTTAACAAGTTCTTGGGTATTGATATTGAGTGGGGAAGTGACAACATCCATTAAAAATCAGGCTGTTTTGTGGCGCACACCACCACTTTCATCAAGCACTCTTTGTGCTTCATGGTATGACATGCGCCTTACCGGTATTTTCCTATGACAATGGTGCTGTGTCCAAGATGTGTGATGTTTTGTAATGCCTTTTTATCAAGTTAATTGTCATGCCATTTGCCCGCACAGTGAGCAGAGCCCACGATGATGCCACTTCTGAACCATCATCTCTGCATCCCTGTTCTGAGCACCCACCAAACTTCAGTCAGAAAACTGCAGGTACTAAGATGAGCTGCATTGGTTGGATTTGAGACATCTGAAATGCAGCATGTCCTAACTGTTGATCTTAAAATGGCCTCTGCATAGCCATGGATTTGATGGTGTGATGACTGAAGGTCAATTTTGGGTTGTCAGTCATGTAACAATACTGAACATCTCACAAGAGCTGTTCAGAAGCGTCACCAGTTTGACTGCGTGAGGCGGTCCGTCAACGTGAAGCGCGTGCTCACGGGAACGGTGATCGGCCGGCACAGAGCATCCCAATCATATCGTTCCTGCCTTTCCAAGCAGTTGAAGAGAAAATGAGTGCTGACATCGTGAGTTAGGCCTTGGATCAAATTTTGCATGCGCGGTTAACGCTCTGGAGCTCAGGGCGAGTGCTGAAGTGCTGTAGGCAGGGTTCTCAGGCTTTCGTTGTGTGCTGAATTGTACGCGGCGTATTTGGCATTTTGTACTGACACCATGCCGGTGCGGTTTTCTACATATCCAAGGTGAAATCAGTGTAAATACAAAAAATCGTCGCCAGCTACGTGGTGTTGAAAGCGTTTGAGCAAAACAGGCATCTGGACAGGGATATGATAGGTAAAACTACGATGCTGTCGCGACCCGACCGAAGCTCACTTGAGAAGTATTGGCCAATACGATTTTGCGCTCACGGTCTTCATTAAAAAGCCAAGGAGACAAATTCTGACATCGCACTTTGGTGGGAGAGAGTGTCGACGGTTTTTTCACCCCTGGTCACAAATGTGCGACAACATCCTGACCACGCAGCATTTGCATCCATAAATACCTTACCTTGCATTCACCACATCCACACAGCACCAGTAAAACGCTATTCAGGCCTCATCATCGCATCTTGCACCACGGTTTGTTGCAACACTATTAATGCTGTCTTGCCACATTCTTCCGTGCCTCCTGCCTTAATAGTGCCGCCAAGGCATTGAACCACCTGTAGAGCTTTGCTTCTTTTTGAGGTTCTCAAACTTTTTTGTCAGAATAGCTTATGTCCAACACACGTGTTACCACTAAGTACCAAAAGTCCAAATAGTTGTTTTGCTCACACCGATGGCTCCAAGGCCAACGAACACATCGGATGTTCAGCAATTTTAAATTTCACATTTCTGTAAAAGTGGTCGGTTATCCGATGACATCCTTCTACTTGGCTTAATTATTTGGTCTTCGACTTGCATCACAACACATTCAACAACACATTCGTATAACAAGCACCATGGTGATTTGTTCAGATTCCAAGACAACTGGATAATCGCTTATCGACCAAGATTTCCCTTCAAAGCCATACAATTTTGGCGTTTCCAGACTGCAGAGGCATAACGGGAATGACCAGGCTAACTCACTGGCCAAGGAAGCTCTGGCAATCCTTCCCTTACATACATCCTCGATTTTCATACATCTATGGGTTTTTTAAAGCCGCATATTGACAACAAAAAATTTGGTTACGACAACGACAGACACCAAAAGCCACAAATTCATGAAATTAAACCTGACATTACGCATTGACCATCAGCTTATGATGAGGACCGTTCAGGGGAGAAGGCGTTGGCTCGTCTGATGATTGGACATACTACACTCACCCATAGCGCCATATATTTACATCGCCCTCCTCGCCGTTCTTAGTCTTGTGATCATTCCTGTAAAGCTTAGCCTAGCATTATTCAATGCAACAAAGTTTCAGCAAGACCGTAATGCTATGAAAGCCTATTGTCATCGGCACAACATGGAATGCTGTTCGAAGGTCGTCCCTGGTGATGACCACCCGCCTTAACTCAGCCTACTTTTTAACTTCCTGAGACTTTCCGATCTCCTCGAAGCCATGTAAAAGTCCATAACAAACATGTCATTAACTTTTTCTTTACTTGCGTAACTACACTATTTATTTGAAATAATTCTTCCCAGGCGTGAACTGGCACGAAGAGGCCGAAACGAATCAAACAATCAAATAAAATCGTGTTCGAACATCCAACCCCATGATCCTCCTTCTCACTTCATGCGCTGCATTGTACTATACTGCCTCCTGAATCCTTGCGACAGCCCGACTGTCCGGGGCAGGCTGCATACGCCAGTCAGGAGTGGGGCGAAAAGTCCTTGGTGGGGGCCCCTGTCTGGGCGCCAGGCACGTGCCCGAAGAGGGGTCCCTGTGTAGGTTCAGTCCCGGCAGTTGGCCCCCAGGCGCATGTAGACTTGGCCACCGTTATGTACCTCACCGTTCTCCATTCCCCTTCATTCCAAAGCCCTAAGTGCTTATTTCTGTCATCTGTGACTCTAATCAAAGTAATCGGAATATCGATCGTGTTCGAAACTTGCGCTGCATGCATACAATTGATTTACAACCTGTCAAACTTAACTTGTGCTAGAAATGGTCTTGACGTGCACCAGATACGAATAACTCGACGATTATAGTTATCTTGGCCTCGCGCACCGCATGGCCAATGGCGTGGCGATATTCGCGAGACGTTTCCGTGGCGCCGTACACACCTGGGTGACCTTAGAATAGTCTGCACGAAAACGTCTGCACAAGTTCGCGGGCGTCTAGCTCTGAAGTCAGAAGGCATTAAGTCTTGGGAATGGCAGGGTTCGTCAACAGCACTGAATGATCTTCAAAATGGCTATCTCGGTTCAAACCCCTATACAAATGTGAAACACTCGCGTTAAAATAAGCTACGCATCAGTACATGGTGGCACGGTTAAAGCATCCCCCCCAAAAAAATGGGCGATCGTTATAAAAATAATTCAATTTGAAACTAATTTAAGTCTCCATTTTTTCAAATCAAGTCTGCGTGAGTATCAGACAAACCCGGTCATCAAAATTTGACTGATTGCCCACGAAATGCATGCGATTCTTACCTCCAACCCTGACCTGTGCTGTACCGAGGTCACCAGGCACGTGGCACTGGTACATGCCGGCCACGGATGGGTCACCATCCCGCAGGCGGATGGTCAGCTGTCCGGCCGGAACTCCCAACAGGCGGCCGTCTCTGGGGACCACACAGGCCTGCATTACATCGCCGGTTGTCCGGTTAATACACACAATGGTGGCCATTTCGTCCAAAAATACAGACCACTAGCAGACGTGGGCGGCTAAAATATACAATGGTGCCGGCCGGAAATCTGAAGCTAGTCGCCACGCTTCGCAAACGGTTGGAAGTTTCTGCCTGAAAACATCCTGTTCGGCATCGAGTGGAGTTTTCTTCAGTGGCTGCCGTCCCGAGGGAACTTGCTGAAAGGTTCGTCGGTCTTGTGGTGTGATGGAGGCGACACTAAAATCACTCTAGGTAACGGCAAGCCGAGCTGTGAGGGACTTGGGAAGCAGAGCGGCTTGTATTGGCTTACGTCTTGTCCAGATAAGGTTTATTCGGGAGGATATTTTCCATACGGAGGAATAAAATTCAAAGCGTTGCGTGTCGAAAAACCGTAAATAACTGCACAGCATTCCTATGAGTCAAAATTTTATCACACTTACGTCCTTTCTTCCAAAACTGAGAAGCGCAGTCAAGCCTTTTGTAGCCATTCATCAGCGTTTTTAAATAAACATTTGGGGAGAGAGTGGGAGATGTTTTAACGTTATAAACAGGCAGCTAGTGTAACCGAATAAATTAACGTCAAACTTTTGCGAGTACATGTCGCACTTAGGCTAACCTAACCTAACTTAACCGAACCTAACCGAACCGAACCGAACTTAAGGAAATGCAGTTAAACCATCTGTATGGATATATCTATGCAGCACAATTACTGTGCCATGAACACAACTCATGCAATTTTAGAAGTGCAATACCTTAGGCTGTGTACTTATATCGTGCAGTACACCGATAGTTCCGAACCGTTCATACGGTTCAAATATCGTGTTGTAGAATCCAGAAAAAAACAATCAGGCGCATAACAATACGCTCGGAATGTTCATATTTCGTCTTGATTTTACCCAAACTGACGAATAAACCATGGAGGAACATAAGGTCCACTAAATCCTCGCCAGATTCGCAGTTTTTTCATAACACGAACGGATAGGCCTGCCATTTCCAAACTGGGAACAATGCAGCAACAGAATATACAAACAGAGGATTGGTCTCAGCAACACCACGCAATTGGTCGTGGTTTTGTGTTAACTGGTCAGACCACACTGGCCACGTTTAAGGTCAATTTGCCATTAAAATCGGAATACTGCAGCTCACGATGCCATGTTTAACGCGTCTGCGGTCTCGTGATTCATTGGAGGGAATTTGGGCTTTCGAATCATCCAACTTTGTGGTGTTTCGACCCGTGGTTCAGAGAAGCATACAAAGAAAAAGGGTGCTGCAGAGAAATTTATTTCCACCTGTCACCGAAGCGAAAGCTTGGAAGAATACCTTTGCTCCCGGTGTTGGTAACATTTGCAGTTAACACAGATCGACAACGTTCTGTTATGCATTCAGTCGACTGCCTAGTGAAATATGTTCAGGCTCAAGTAAAACTATATATGCATTTATATACATATCAAATTTTGGACCGCGACCAAAAAAGGAGCAATAATGTTATGCCCTCGCAGCCAAATCGCGCTGAGTTATCGCAGACGCGTAAACGACACCTGATAAGGCACTGGAAGTTTGCCTTAGGCAACATGTTCCTTATCCATGGATTGCAAAATGCACCAAAAATGTTCTATAGAGTACAAATTGTTTCGAGGAAATGCCTTGGCTATTTCGCGTTCTTTCCAAACAATGCTGCAAAAATGGCTAACCAACGGCAAATGCGGCCCTGCACGTGAGACCCTTAGCAGCCGCAAGAGCGGATTTGCGGACGATGCTGATGACTCTTACTTGATCCAGGTGACGTCAGACGAAAGTTCTTTTGGAGTGACGTCACAGGACAGCTGAGCCGTTTGTCCTGCGTTGACAACCAGCTGGCTAGGCCGGACTACGACCCGGCTGGGAACAGCAACCTGTCAGCGAACAAAAGTCATGCATTTACAGCCGGAGAACAGAGCCAGAGCACAGTTAAGGCCGGAGCACAGTTAAGACTTTTTCACTCCACCGTAAGCGTCTATGTCTCCGACTCATGACGAACGACGTTTCAATATGGTGCCAACAACCTCCCACGATGTGCGTCCTATCGCTTTATGCGAACCCAAGCCCCCCTCTCACTCCTCACCAACCTCCACCGTAGTCTCGTGAACAGCGCCTCCCGCAGACGAGTTGGCCGTGCAGCGGTACCGGCCAGCGTCTGATGACGTCACGCGGCGCACGGTCAGGCGCTCACCGCTGACCTCGACTCGCCCCGCGGGGAACAGCGGGTAGGGGTGGCCGTCCCGTACTTCAAACCACCTGAGGGTAAAGAGGTGGCGGGGAAAATATATCAGCGGCCAGTGGCTCCACTCGGAAATTGTGGACAATGTTCAGCTCCACAACACTTGTGCTAGGCTTTTGACAGGTGATTTTTGTCTGACATAAAAAGTGTGCCATCTGGTGAATTCCAGTTTTCAGAAATACTCTAAAAATTGTCAGTTTTAGTGCAGCCGCAATATCACTGAAACTTTCGCAATCAATGAAAAAGGCACGAGGAAAACGAAATTCATAAACAGGAAACATAAGCAATGCGTATAAAGAGCATGAGTTCAGCCATCTTTATCAGTTAGGATATTGAATCCTTGCCCAGGCTGTCCCTTTTCAGTGAGGAGCACGCAACATGGCAACAATATGCGCCCAGAAGCCGATCGTGCACCGCTCTTTCAAACCCCTTCGAATTCTACTCTAGACCACCGAAAGCTCGTTCCCGCCCTGCCCGTCACATCGCCGGTCGACAGCTAGCCCCCCTCAGCTCCGTCATCGCGCCCCCTGTCAGCTACCCTCAGCCAGAAGTCCGGCAGACAGCTCGCGCCGCGCCAGGTCTACGGATCACTCACTGTACTCGCGGCGACGGGTAACCCTCGGCCAGGCAGTACAGCTCAGCGTCCGCTCCAGCCGCCACCCTGATGACGTCGGGGAGCGCGGCCCACAGGCGCGGTGCCCTGCTCCCCATCGACTCTGTAATAATCACGTCCCGAACATCGGCCAGCCAATCGCCGGCGTGAGGCCCTGCCGGCCCCGACGGCCGTGTCATATCAGCACTGACGGCTAATTCTGGCATGGGGAATGGCCGTGATTAGACCCCAAATCGGCCGGATCTTAATTGGGTTTTGCATGCAGATCATAAGCCGGCAGCTCAAGCAGCATTTAATATACAAGCATCTTACACGGTTTTAGCGAATTAAAGGTATAAGCACTCCTAACGATGGTCAAGAACCCAATTTAGTGGACTCCTGCTTGACCAGAATGTTTTTCACTGCACCAGGCACACGGAATGCGCGCCATACACAACGATTTTGTTAAAGAAGACAGATGGGATCATTTTGCCAGCAAGGTGGCAGAGTGTGGTGAGCTATGATACATCACATAGTACCTCACAATTTACATCCGAAAGCATCTTCATTGTGGCATTGCAAGTATGTAGATGTTATAGGACCGTGTATGGTCATAACGTTGGGAAGAGCGGATATTACTAGGAGTTTATGTCGAGGATTGCTGCCTGTTCGCTAACGCCTCATCTTTTTACGGTCATAGGGATTACAATAAGTCACGAGCCAACCAAAAGGATGGTGTGAAAACTCTCTTGGAATTCCCAAAATAGAGTGAAATCATTTAAGCGTTAAAGAAAACAAGGCTGGAAAAGCACAATTCGAGAAAAAAAACGGAGAGATTACTGACAACGGAAAGAAAGGAGGCAGTGCGGGGAAAATTATGTGCATGGAATCAGTTGCCATGGGGCCTGAGATCAGATGCCCGTATAAAGCTGTTCTCGGTAGGCAGCGGCCTCGAGTTCAGTCATCAGTAGTCTAACTAAGCAAGTTCAATTTCTCTCTTGTGCGTACTTGTTCATGCAAAAGAAACGTTCAACATCGTTTAGACCCTACAATATAAGTGGCCGCAGCCGCCTTGCACTGCTTGGCCCCAGACTAGCCCTCGGTTGACGTAAGCGTGTCAGACCCTCGCTTAGCGTCTCTCGCAGCTGGACCCAAACGATCCGACTTTGGTCAACTGCAGGACAAGTCTGACGCTGACGGGTCAGGGCGTGACAAACTCGGGTAATTTGGCCACCTACATACGCCAGTCCCCGAGTGAGGGAAAAGTTAAGGAGATTGGGGGCACAAGTTGTTGTTTGCGCTCAACACTATCGCACCTTGGGTTTGCGTCCAGTGCGCAGCAACATGCCGTGATCAAACAGACGAAACTTCCATACAGATACACCGACCGAAGACACGAAGTGAATGAAGGACTCAAAACATGGATTGATAAGTCAGGACACAGTACTACTTTCTTACTTTTAACCTCAGCAAAAGAAGGATTTAGCTATCAATAAAGCCTTGCGCCGTATTTGTCAACAGCAATCCTCCCACAGCGCGGTACCCGTCGTGCTGCCGGCCATCCGCCGCCATTTACTCAGGCAGCCTGCCGTTGGAGGGTCACCGCCACGGGGCACGGTCCAGACGCGACCCATGGCGTCACGTGACCCAGCGCCGGCCGCTCCCGAGGGCCGGTGACCCACGCGGACGCGGTGATCAAACTCCGCAACAGACGCACGCGCAGTGACGATTTAACGCGATGCGAGAAATCGTCACTGCGATACAATAGCAACATAAACAGTTAGCAGCAAACAATAACACTCACTTTGAACTCGTAGCCGCGCGGAGCCACTCCGACTGGAGGTTCCCGTCAGTCCGCTGGTGGTCCGACATCGGACCAGCATGCCGTCGTCACGCGCCAGAAGCGTCGCCGATCAGCAGGCGGTGCTCCCACATCCGATACCTGCAGAGAGGGACGGCGGGTTTGATCGGCACGACAGAACGCGCGCCGGTGTGCCTCCTCTCTCTCTCTCTCTCTCTCTCTCTCTCTCTCTCGCTCTCTCTCTCTCTCTCTCTCTCTCTCTCTCTCTCTCTCTCTCTCTCTCTCTCTCTCTCTCTCTCTCTCTCTCTCTCTTTCTCGCCGGACACCAGAGGAAGGTCACCACAGGAACGACTATCACACCGCATAGCGACACCCTGCTCGTTTGCAGTGTTCTTCGGCGCCTACTGTGGTATGATTCCGCTGGTCTGCTCTCGCAGCAGCTCAATTTCAGAGCCCTTGTTTCGACCACAGCTGTTGTTCTTGAACCGGTTCGTACAACTGACGTGCGACACTGTTGGTGCATTGCCAATTAGTGGTGCTCACTTGGACCAAATGTATGCCACTGAACGTCGATGCAAAGAGGCAATGAGTGATGCAAAGCAGTTAAAGCTGACTTTTCAACCTGTGCTTTCTTATTAACACGTGCTCGGGTAGTCAAATTGACCCCTCCAAAGGTTTTTTCAGAATGGTCTCCGAAGGACGCGGCGTAGCCGCGCCAAATGTTGCATAGCTGTAGACAGCTGTAGCGGATCGTTTGACATCAAAAATTTGGGTGTACCTTGTAAGGTCGCCGACCTATGGCAGGCCAAAGTCAGACCATGGTTTCAGCGAAGGCAATTTCTAGGGGATCGTCCAATCTGATACAATAACGGAGAGTTTGACGAAGCCATCCATCTCTGAGATAGTTTTTTAGGCACCAAAATGTTAAATGAGCACATGGCGTTGCCCTAAGGTCAGGTATAAGGGTCAGACCAAGGTCAAAACCAACCTGTTGTATTACTGTACCGCTTACTGTATGGGATAGTTTGTGGTGCTCATTTTGAATTTATTGACAGCAGGATCCGCCTTATACGTCTTCCATTGACTTCTTAGAGGTCAGAACAGCTCATTGACCTAAGATGACCCGAGTCGGCATTCTGCTTCAGGAACACACTGCCTAGCATAATCTTTGTCGCTTATTCAAATGCAAAACTCAGAGCAGTCTTGCGTGATTTTGGTCACCATGACCTCCAAAAGGTCAAACAAGATCACTGACCTCAAAGGGGCTTGTTATCTTTTGCTTAGAAACAGTTGCCTAGGTTCTGGGGCACTCAGGAGACCAATCCGGAATTTGACCTTGTTTGACCTTATTTGACCTGAAGGTCATGACCTAGGAAGCTCAAACTTTGACCTAAGTGACTTCACGTACAGGTCAACACACCCTGTAAATTTCGTGTCTTTAGCTCGTTTAGTTCCTGAGATCGCAGGGGAGGGGGGGGGGGGCAAATCGACCCCCCATCCGTGCGAAGGGTGTCTAGCCGGCCACCCGGGCGCGTGTTAATAGCTGACAGCTGATACTAAACGTCAAGTATTTATGTTTCATCCAGTAAAGGACTCGAAACACAACCCGAAACGTTATTGGTGTTTTGTATACTCCTTGAAAGGATTTGCACAGATCTCTTGTTGCAGAGCGCGAAACCAATATTTGCAAGGGCGACAAAGAGTGTGCAACTTTCTGAATGTATTTTGCTCTCAAGGGTTCAGACCCAACCGTCCATTTGTTGCCTAATCCACTTTTTGCGATGCGTGGGGTTGGACGGTTTCCTTTTATGTACCGAAAAACTATCCTTCCTGTGCGGAAGGACCATACTGTCTCTCATATTATCTGAATGCACAAGGTCTGTACCCATGACGGGCCCAGTGACAGAAATTGCAAGGAGTGTGCTGATAAAATAGCTGTGCCGCTAGAAATACGATACAGCTTTCTGAAAATGATGTAATGTCAAAGCAATTTGAAAGCCTTTATTATGGTGTGAAAGCAGCCGAATAACACACCTGTGTAGACAAATGGGTCTAACAAGCTACGTGCAAATTACGGGGCCGGGTCTATGTCACCTATTAGTTTAACACACAAAATGGAGACTAACTTGCTACGCAAATGTCTGGCCGTTGTTTGCTCATTCTAGCACAGATTCCTTCCGAAATGGTCCGGTATCACACACCTTGCATGCATTCTCAAACACTGCAGGGCATAAGCCAAAGCGTAAGCAGGCGTATGCAATCTGCATCAATGAATCTTCAGCGTTCAAAATCGTCCATTACCTTCTGTTACACCAGCTCCATCAGTGTTTCATCGCTGAAGTCGCGTGTAGGGCTGACTGGAGCCGCAATTAAGCAGGTGCTCACAACGCGTAGTGTTAAACCACAAGCGGTCCGACTGGATTCCAATGCGATCTGCTGTTCCGCAAGGCAGCATCCCGGGACCGCTACTGTTCACCTGGTTGCTAGCTGACGTTCCTCACTATGTTAAGAGTGGGTGCACTCGCCACGCTGCTGATATGGAGCAGATTGTTCCACGTTTTAAACGGACTTGGATGGCCTCTGTGAATTTCCAAGAACTGGAGACTGAAATTAAGCCTAGCTAAGCGCGGAGCTCTCTCATTCACCTTCCGCACTTGACCCGCTCACTAATCATATGCACTTAAACCGACGCTCCCCTTGGAGCACAGCAGTCAGCAGGTCCGCTAGCTTGTCTTCCTTCTGGTCACCAAACTCGCCGACACACATCACACAGACGCCATAGTGTCAGGAGCCGGCCGAGTTCTGGGCCTTGTCATGCCAAGCGAGCGAATCTCGTCGAGCTCTCTTCAAGCGAGCGAACCCCGTCGAGCTCTCAAGTGAGCGAACCCCATCGAGCGCTCGTCAAGCGAACGAACCCCGTCAAGCCCGTCGACCTCTGGTCAAGCGCTTTCATTATCATCAGTGTTCGCTGTGTGCTTTCAACGCTCATGCAAGATCATTGGGAACAGGAGCGTGTTAGGAGTAGTGCTGCCGTTTCGCATTTCGCCCGGCCCAAACGATTACAGCATCATTTTCTCAATTGGATACGTGTCAAACGCCCTGTCCTTCACTGGGTGCTGAGTATTTTCTCGCCCATTTTAAATCAAGACCTATCGAGGTACGCTTTACTCACCCCCACAAATGATCTATATATAAAGTTTACCATCGTATATCATCGTCAAAAGCAGTTGGTCAGCTGCAACTCCAGTCAGCTTCATACGCGACTGCAATGGCACACAATGACGTGGCTTGTGACATAGGGAGGGTGGCGATCAGAGGCCTCACTGCGTTCGTCCGGCATCACTGTTCTTTGGTCTAGCCCTGCCCCGTGCTCTCAGCAGACCAGATTTTTCCACCAGCCATTTGCTGTTAATAGTGTTACAATTGGATTTGTCACGTGTCTACCAATGACTTGCAGCTACTTTCCTCGCCAGTCTCCTTCAACTAACTTTTCTGGCCAACGTGATGCTTTCGGTCCGCTTTATCCAAGTTCACCGGCACTCAGGAAGCGTGACATTTTTTGAGCGTTGTGTGCAGTGGACACGGTGTACACGTGCTAACTTCTGTTTGTGTCATGTATGCGTTGTTTCTAAAAGTTGAATTGCCGTCGTAATTGCTCGCTGGCCCCTGGGACGCTTACACCCAAGTAAGCAATCAGCAAGGGCAAAAACAGCTACAAACTTTTACAGCCTAACATTTCGCACAACTGTACCGTATTTCATGATCTGGACCCGCTACCAGCGCCTGCCCAGCCAGCCCCCGACGCCGCCCATCACAGCGCCGAGCCCGCGTGCCGGCTCAGACAGCGGCGGCGGCCTGAGCCGCCCCAGATGATGCCGTCCGACTGACCGCATGTGGGCGACGGCCACCGGGAGCATCGGGGTCCGGCGGGATTGGATGACGCAGAGCTCTCGTTACCGCAGCCTGTGCCGCGCCTGGCCGAACGACAGCTCGGGCTCGGACCGCCGTGCCGTCGCCGTCGACTGCCTTCGTCAGCGTCGGCGGCACCGGGCGGGGTCCGTCATCTACTGTGTGATGACCTATCAGCACGCTCCGGCACGGGTGGGTGTGTACCTGGAGTTCTGACGCTGCCGCTGCCGCCCCCTTCCCCTGTCTGAGAGAAGACTGGCAAAGAGGAGACAGTGTAATTTACAAAACACGTTTGACTGTGGCCTTCGGTGTTAACCGCTGGTCTGGCGGATCCAGCCGGGCGCGTTGCGATAAATCCGAGCACTGCCAAGTTAGAGTCATGCGACATTGAGCCAGGGTACGTGCAGCCAATGTTAGCTCGATGTACGGCGCTGCGACAGATCTGGTCTGTATTTCGATGGTCATTCATATGGCCAGAGGACCGCCCCCCCCCCCCCCACCCCACCCCCGAGGCGAGTTGTGTCAATTGTTTGCCAATGCCCAGGATCAAGTTAAGCCAGTCGGTCGTCAATGTCGGACCAATAGGAACTGCATCATCAAAGCCTTCAGTCGCACATGTCAGCATCTGCACACGCGAGCAAGAAACTTTCGGGATCAGTATATAGAACAAAACCACCAGATAATAACTACAGCCCTCCCCATGTATCCACCAAAAGTATAAAGAGATGATGTGAATCATTCAATGCTGACCGAGTGGGCTTCCACAAAAGGCATCAAGTGCTCCCTGGCCGGCTGCCGGTCGTGAGGAACATTCACGCATCACAGCAGGGCCATCAGCCCAGCGGCAGCGTTGTCAGTCGTTCCGGTGCTGCTTCCGGGGCCCCCAGCCGTCGATCTCGACGCACGACGACATCGCTAACGACGCGATGACGTCACGCTCGAGTTGAGCGCGCCCGTTCGCTGGGCGCGGAGGAGGGGCGCCCCGAGGAGCCGTCGTTGGGAGTGCGGTGAGTCGCGGTGACGTCACAGATCATGGGCGTCGAGCCTGCGGCCCGGAGTCCTGAGCTTCGCAGGCCTGTGGCTCAGGGCCCTGAGCTTCGCAGGCCTGTGGCTCAGGGCCCTGAGCTTCGCAGACGTGGTCTGGAGAGTACGGCCTTGATGGAACACAAATGACTACGTT